AGAGGTCCCTGACAGCTGACTTTCCCAATGCAATTTGTCTCCTGATTTCCTGGCTGCTGTTACCAAGAGTGTTGACTGTGGAACCAAGTAAACTAAAACTGTTAACTATCTCAATCTCTTCACCATCCATACTGATGCTATGGGATTGTAATTAAAAAAAAAGTGTCACTTCTGAGCACAACCAAAATACCCAGTTCTGTTCTGGTCTCTAGCCTTCCCACCAGAAACGTGGTCCACACACCACTTGACTCTTTCCTCTAGTCCCTTGTTTCGCCTCGCTCTCACCTCTTGTATGAAAAATAAGAAACGGTCTGTTTCCTTGAGAGGATTCCTTTTCTGAACTCCAGGGCCCTGGCTGTGTAAATGAATCCAGATGCTCAGATCACTGTGGTGCTCAGCCCAAGGAGGGGCCAGCGCAATCGTATTTTATGCTGGAAACTTGCACCTCATCTCTCACTTGATAAAAGAGGAGGTACAGGTCTGGTGAATGCAGACAAAAATAGATACACCTTGTACTTGTATCTGCAGATGTACAAACTCCTTTCTCTGAGGTACTTAGGCCTGAAACATCCTTTTTTCAAATAGACCTCCTTGTGAAAGGGGTCAAACTGGTTTTTTGTTTACTGCAATCTAGTCTTGGCCACTCATCAAGTTCAATAAAACAAAAAATGTAATCCTCTCCTCCCAAAATCCCTAGGCTTCATTTTAATATCTTTTCAGAGTGGTTAAGAAGTACAGTCATATTCATTACAGCTGGTTTCTTTTTCTTCCCTTCATCACTTGATGATGGTGCTATGTTTTCAAACCCCATTTAAATATATACATTTAAATATATATACACACACAAATAATTTCTGGTGTCCTCAAAAGAGGAAATGTTTTTTAAAAATTTAAGCACAAGCGAGCTCTGGTGGCCTAGTGGCAAGAAACTGCACTGCAATCTCAGAGGCGCATGGTTCGAATCCACCAGATGCTCTGCTGGAGGAGGAGGAACAATCTCCTCCTGTGCCTGTCAGTTCTGATTTGACGGTACACGCAAAAAAATGATAAAATAAAAAATAAAATTAAAAAAATTAAGCATAATAAACAGAGGGCCACACAATTTGATGGGTGGAGGGAAGGATCGGTAAAGGAAAAGGAAAAGACCTGGTGTGAAAAACAGTGTATATGAACTTTATGAATTTTGTATGTAAACCAGTATAAAAAAAAACTTTTTTAAGAAAATAAACATAGTAAAAGAGGTACTCAGAGTGTTTGAATTCTCTATAATTAAGACTTGCTGTGAAATATCTGAAATGATTTGATGAGAGAGTAATTAAACAAGATAAACAACAGAAAAGTAAGAAAGAAAACAACAAACTAAAAACAAAACAACTTGAAATCCAAATCAATGACCTTCTCAATTCTTTCAACTAGTTCCTTTTCAATGCCTCTAAGAGAAATGATAGGTATCAGGTATAAAATTCAACTTTATCCCAAGGCTTTGAAAGCAAAACCAGAGAGACTTGAATTTGTAAAATGTGACTGGACGGGAACAGGAAGAATTATAGGTTGATGACTCACTAGAAATGTAATCTCTTAGAAAACAAGGGTCGTATATACATGTTGCATAGTGACTCAATCTCTTGACAAGCAGAGTTTGAAACAACGGTGTGCTGTTTAAAGATGGTGCGTAGATCATAGCACTTTGAATGTGTGTCACGTTCCACAAACCTAGCAATAATCCAGTCTCCCACCTTCAGTTTCTAATGGATTCACTACACCTCTTGGAGTCTTCCTTCCAAGGGCTTCAACTCATCATTTTCCACCATTCTAATTACTATAAAATGTTTAAATATTGGATCTGTTCTAATTTCACTTTGTTGGCCATGACTGAGCTGGTTCAAATCAGCTTCATCACATCATGTCAGGATGTAAAGACAGGTCAGAAACTCTGGGAAAGCTCTTAGCAATATCTTAAGGCTGGTATATAATATATATACTGGTATATAATATATATAATGTTTCATAACTATTAATTCTATGTGTTCTAATGGGTATTTTATAAATAAAAAGATAGTTAACTGTCAGGTTTAGCAAACTACCAGGTTCCTATATCCTGGGACTTCAGAGCCCAGCGAGGTGTATAATGACTGCATTCTGTAAATTCTTACACATTGATCTCCCCTAGAAGACTATTCTCACAAGTAGTTTGCAAAGGACGACAAGAAAGAGGTATCCCATGGTGGGGGGGGGAAGGGGAAGGACAGGTGAGATTTTTAGGAAAAACATTAGCAATCTGTCATAGTCGGCACAAAGGCTATCTACTACTCAGGACAGTAGTACATGGTGCATCTTGGTGTCCCACTTACAGTGGAGAGAGCAGACACAGAGGGGGTGGCAAGGTAGGGGATGGGCTGCCTGCACCTTTACGCACCTGCTCCTGCAGCCGGAACTCCCCGTGGCTGGACTGCTGGGCTGGAGGCTTGGCCTGAGCACTGGGCTCGCTGTTGACACTGTGCTGTGAAACCTGGAAGAAAAGAGAGACCAGACTCTGTCATGACTGCGGACAGGAGAGGACCTCGTCTTCCGTCACATTCCCGTCACTAAGCCCCAGAGTAGGCAGGGAGGACGGCTCACAGCAGCATCGGGGTTCCCTTCCAGGCACTGACTCCTGCAATTGGCAACGCAGGAGCAGGATGGGCATGGAGCATGAAAGCTCTTTCAGACAGGCCTTGCGTGCGTTCAATTTTAAGAGCAGCAGCCGGGAGGTAAGCAGGCTTGGAATGTCTTCTCCTCCTCTTCTGACAAAGCTCTGGTTTGTTCACAGTGCAAAGAAGAAGCCCCCTGGCATCTTCTTGTTGTAGCTGTTGGTAGCCACCACTGAATCGAATCTGACTTGTGTGGACTCCATGACAGAGTGGGACTGTGTCATAGTTTGATCGTAGGCATGTGACTTTTCACCTGTGCCAACCAAAGGCCTCTATTCTTGGCTCTGGGGATCATCCTGGAGCAACAGTCGCTGACACAGAGATGGGGAGCGGAGGCGGGGGTGGGGGGCGAAAGAGGCTGCCTTCAGTCAAAGCACTGGCTGGACTAGTCACGTCTCCTTGGTGATGTGTTTTACCTCTTTATATCCCAATTTCCTCACCTACAAGAAGGACATTCTCGTCATTAAAATAAATTTTTGTTTCTTTAAAAAAAGAAGGGCATTCTCTCCTTTTTCACTATCCCCCTACCTGCTCTATTTATAAAGATGGGGTGCTATTAAGACCTGCTTGCTTCATAGGGTTGTGGTGAAAATTACATAATGTTGAAGGCACTTAGCTGAAAGCCTGGTATACTGTAGATGCTTGATAAACAGAGATAATAATTTAAATGAGAAAAATATTACATCCCAAGAAAGCCTTAGGATGGAGCTAAAGCTTGGTATTGTTTATATAGCAGGGACTCAATAATTATTTGCTGAATGGTTAAACAATATTTTTTCTTTTATTGAAGTAAAATATTTACAACTGGACCCTTGTCCCTTCAGCCATTCACTGTCACCCATTATGCTCACCATGTTGTCTAACTATCACCAGCATTTCCAAATGGACCGTGTCTTTCAGAGCCAAGCCTGGAATAGTGACAAAGGGGCTTCACCTGTGGGTCCAGAAGAAGAGGGCCCTGAATCATCCCTCTAAGTTGAAGCACGCAGCCAGTGTCCCACGGTCTCCGCATCTCTAGTGGTCTGGGGCCCTCTGAGTGGCCACTACAGACCTCTGATGCTCTAAAAGCAGGACTTACCGACCATTTCTAAAATGCTCACCATGTTTTGCCATGTTGTTGTTGTTGTTGTTATGTGCCATCGAGTCGTTAGCAACTCACAGCGACCCTATGCCCAACAGCCCTAAACCCTGCTCTATCCTGTGCCAATCGCATTGCCTCTGACACACCCATCCCGATTACCCCAGTCACTGAATCAATCCACCTCATAGAGGGTCTTCCCCTCCTGCACTATCCCTCTACGCTACCCAGCATGCTGTCCCTCTCTAAAGACCTGTCTCTCCTTACAACATGTTCAAAGTATGTCAGACGAAGCCCCAGTATATTTGCCTCCAAGGAGTAGCCTGGTTTAACCCTCTCTAGGATGAATCTGTTTGTTTTCTTGGCAGTCCAGGGTACATTCAATACTCTTCTCCAGCACCACAGCTCAAAGGCGTCAATTCTCCTTCTATCCTCCCTAGTCATTGTCCAGCTCTCTGATGCATAACAAGCGATTGCAAAGACCATGGCCTGTATCAGGTGCACCTTAGTCTCCAGAGAGACACCGTTGCTCTTGAGTACTTTAGAGAGGTCCTTAACAGCAGACTTTCCCATCACGATACGTTTTTTTATTTCCTGGCTGCTGGTGCCAGGAGTGTTGACTGTGGAGCCGAGCAAACTGAAGCTGTTCTGCCATGAGCTACAGATTAAAAATCTTCGGCAGGAACTAACGGAAGGGGCCTTGATGGCATCGCTGCTGCCTCGCATTTTCAACTCATCGAAAGTGCTGATGGGTAAGGCCAAAGCAGCAGTTGTAAAGGAGGCCACCTTCATTTCTAGGTAGGACAGATTTGGGTGGCACAACCTTCCACTCCCACTGCAGCAGCCTATCACCCAGTGGGAAGACAATCTTATTCACAATCAACTCCACGATGACGACCAGTTCTATTCAGTGCATGGAGAACTGCCACAGCTCCTGAGATGTGATGGAAACACAGACACCCAGACTGCTGACACGCTACAGAAAACCCACACTCCAGCCCCTTTTCTATTCCTCTCTGTGTTAAGACCACTTTTGACCCTCAAGAGTCAAGAGCCACCTCCCGCACATGGAAGAAACTTCTGCTTATCCGCAGCAGGCTGATGAGAAACGCGACCATTCTCGGCTCTCTGTCATCTCAGTCGTGGGTTCTGTGGTGGCCATTACTTCTAAAGGCCCACGATGGTCTGACATCTCCCCTACATGATCTATGGAAACCCCAACTCTGTCCTACCTGCGATGGGCAAGGTCTTGGAGGGAGCGCTGGTGGCGGAGGCAGCGAGCCTGTCTTGGTGGCTGCAAAGAAAAACAACACATTGTTAAGGACCACTCCAGATAAAAACAAAACCCGACCCCCTGCCACTGGGTAACAGTAGCCTTTAACACAAAGCCCCCTAAAGGCTTCATGATAAAGACAAGTGTATCTCTTGCTAGCCCCCTCTCGTTTTCACACTAGCCACAAACTCGAGGATCACACAGGCTGCTGTGTGTTCTCTTGTTGGGAAGTCAGTTTCCAAGGCTGTAAATTGCATGGGAAGAAAGTGCTCCTTTGTCCTGTGGAGGAGCGAGTGGATTCGAACCACCAAGACAAGTGTTGCCTGGGGGTTAGCAGTGGAACCCTCCAAGCCCTGCGCCACCAGTTTCCTCTGCTTTGATTAAGACAGTATAAAACAGGGGAGGGGTTAAGACACCCTTTCATCACGAGCTTGGAACCTAGCACAGCAAAGCTAGTCCTCATTATCCTGACGGCAATTATTTCATTTCAAATAACCTCGGCCCTTTGCCTTCACTCCTATTTCTCCCGTGCTCCTGGCCATAATGAGGCTCATTAGCTCGGTGAGCAGGCTGGACACACTGGGGAAGCTGGAACCCCAAACCCCCCAGCTCCTCCGCCTGCGATGCCCCCTGCAAGGGTCTCACGGCAGTGGGGAGGCCACTGGTGAAGGGCAGAAAGGATGGGCTGGCTGTTTCAAGGACTTCAATTTCCTCTCCTCTCTCAAATGCCTGTTATCAGGAGTAATTACACAGGTTGCTAAAAATATCCGGCCCCATATTTAAAAGATAATTGTGAGAGACTGTCTTGGTCTATTTTTTTTTTAAATTTCATGAGATATAGAGAAAATCTGAACTAGGCCAAGAATGTCTGAATTGTAGCTTAACAATGAAAATAAGCAGATGCTGTGAAATTGCAAAGAAAGCTCACAATCACGCGTGAAGAACAAGTGGAGCATCACAAATTGGCAAGGTGGGTCACATTCTTTACGAAGTCTTCTCAGAAAAACACTTCCTGTTTGATGGAGCTGGGGGCCGTGTTTGCAAATCTCTGATATGGGTGTGAATAGTTGAACTGTTTCCTAGGCCTTAAAAGAGAATCACAGCCATGTCTGGAGAACACAAAAGACTTGGTGAATCACCTCAGATTAGTCCTTGCTGGATCTGACAAGCTAGAAGACGGAGTCCAGGCCTTGTCATCGAGGTGACTCACTTCACACCACGGAGACGTTCATTCCGAGTCCGTGCAGAGATCTGGCATGGGCGCCCATGTGCCATGCCTCAATCTGTCTCACATTAAAATTTATGAAATGCATTGATGGGTCAAAACTCCAAAGGGGATAAGGCCTGAGCAGCCACTGGTAACTAACAAAGGATGTAGCAGAAGAGATGACTAAAGCTTTCAAGAATGACCCATCTCAGGGCGCCTCGTGCCCAGAGGCCTCAGAGACTGGGCCCTTAAGTGACCAGTTACTTTAAAACCAAATGAAACAAACAGAAATCTGTGCTGATTTCTAAGGGAAAGGCCAAGCAATTGCACCAGAGTGCAATCAGTATTTAAACAAATCTTTATTAACAAAAGAAGAATGCATCAGATACGATAGGCTTTGCTTCTTAATAACACGGTGATTCCTCCAAGACAGGGCAGAGGAGATAGATTTACCTGCCCCTATGAAACAACCAAAAGCAAACAATTAAGAGAAATAAACACACAGCCAAGAGACACTAGAACAAAACACAGGAAACAATGGTTTTCAAGACAGAAAAAAAAACAGGCAAAAAAACCCACCCCAAAACAGACAGAGCTCCTGAGAGACAGGAAATTAATGAGGCCGAGTCTTAGGACTGCCACATCTAACTATTTGCGCAGTTTCTAGAAACAGCTCTTAGAGGCAGACTTGTGTCTGCTTCAATTTTTTTTTAAGTATTACCCAATTTGCAAGAAGATAAACACCTTATGTTGTCATCAGGTGTGGGTCCATTTCGGAGAAATTTTTTAAATAAAATTCTATCTTAGTTAAGAGAGTGCTGTAAAATGGCCACGGCAGGTTTGTCACTTCCTCAAAGACCCAAAAGGTTTCACAGGGCAGACTCGAACAGGTACACGCACACATGTGTTCATGGGAACATTGTCTGAGGTATCCAAAAGGTAGGGGAGGGCAGAGGTGTCTAACAAAAGAGGTTAGGATAAACAAGATTTGTCTCTACAATGGAAACTTACGCAACAGAAAAGAGACATGAATCCCTGATACATAAAGCAACATGGATAAACTTTGAAAATGTGCTGACAGAAAGCGGCCAGAGGTAAGCCTCTCCAACAGGCCAATCCACACAGAGAATGCAATTACTGGCTACTCGGACTGAGGGCTGGGGGCAGTAAGGAATTACTGCTGTAAGGGCGCCGAGTTGCAGAGGGGTGATGAAAAGCCTTGGAAACAGCTATAATAGTTGTGCAGTGTAGCAAAGTGCAAAGTGTGTGTTATATGCATTTTTGCCACAATCAAATTTTTATGAAAATATTTTATACTCTTTCGATATTTATAAACTATAGTACAGTTAACCAGCCACTTAAACGGATCTTGTGTCTACATGAACACTTAGTTACATGGAGGGATGTTCACAGTACAGTGTTTTAAGAGAAAACGGTAGGTACACTGTTACAACCATTTCTAATATAAATATGGATTCTGATGTTGACAAATGTTTATCATATCAATGTTTACCTAGATAGTGAATCACAAGTGTCCTTCCTTCCTCTCATTGCATATATAACATTTTCATTAAGATCTTACATCACTTGCTAGAGTTTGTTAAATTAAAATGAAATGACCTATAAACACTTTCTTTCAGGACCTTGTTTTCGCCTTCCATTTCTGGCGAGAACATCTACCACAAAGCTGGCTAACAACAATGGAAAGGGCACACTTTTCTTCCCTGAGCTCAAAGGAAAAGCCTTCAGTATTTCCCAGTCAGCTGTGGCAGTTTCTACAGCGTGGTTACATACTTTTTCAGAGATGAAGAAACATTCCCTCTATTCTTCTTTTGAAACTTTATTTCATGATTCTTTGCTGTTGAATTTGCACCTCCACCCATGCAGAGGATAAAATGATATCTTTCCTTTTAATTTGCTAACAAGGACGATTATATCACGGGCTTTCTGATCGTACACCATCCTTGCAAACAAAATAATCTTGGTTTTTCAAATCTGCTAGATTGAGTTGGTTACTATTTTGTCTGGGGTTTCTGTGACCACATTTATGAGTAACACTGACAAGTGTTTGGTCTCTCCTATGGTTCTCTGTTATACCATCGACGTTGAGCGTGCCCGCTCTACCTGTACTCAAAAATAGATTGTGTAAGATCAGAAATCTTTTTTTCCCCCTTGAATATCAGGTCAAACTTGGCAGTAAAGTTACTTGGGCCTCGAGTTCCTTTTGAAAAAAGATTGTCTTACACTAATTGTGACAGGGCAATTCAGACTTTCTAGTTCTCAAAATCAGCTCTGTAACACATTATTTTAGTAGACGTTTGTTGATTTTGTGTGAAGTTTCAATGTATTAACATAAGGATGTGATGATCTCCTTTCCTTCTCCACTTCCAGAATGCTGTATCCAGAGACTGGAAGACCCTGTTCCTGGGAATTTGAAGAGCACAGAAGAAAGAGCTAAAGGTACTAGACATCAAGAGCTATTCAACAAGAAAACCTAGACAGACCATTCTACACAAAGCCTTACACTGGCATTATTGTTTCAGATCTTCCAAGCAGTCTATAGTCTTAAGTCTAAATAAATTACTATTACCAGATGGCTACAGATATATCTGTAACCCAAGGTAGAGCTCAATTAAAATGAGCGAGGGGAGCGGCAGGTAACCTCAAAGATACAGACTAAACGTGTACTAGGAGATCAAATTGTATGTTCATTCACTTTATTCCAGAAATATTTAAACATGTACTATGTGCCAGTTACTGTATGAGATGCTAAGAAAACATCAGCTTATAAAACAGTGAATAAACACTTCAAGAAAATGTCTCAGAAAAGGAATATGAGTTTCCAAATTTAAAGGGCACAACGTGTACCCAGGACAACAGAAGGAAGTACACCCAGGTCAAGGCATCCAAGCCATCTGGCTGCAGCGGCGTCGAGTCCAACTCCTTCCTCATGACCTGACAGCACAAAGGATTATTTGCCTCAAGAGAGCACTCTGGTTGCACCTTCTCCAAGACACATCTGTGTGTTCTTTTGCCAGGCCATGGGATGGTCAGTTGTTTCCTATAGCACTCCCTATACAGAACAGCCAAATGCTTTCCCCCCAGCACTACTAGGGCTCCTTTGCCAAGGCACATCATCACAAGATTTCAAAACACCAGTGTCCGAAGATGGTCCAAGTTTCCAGAAAAGGGTGGAGGAGTAAGGAAGGCCACACAGAAAAGATCAGGAGTACAAATGGTTTCATAATTCTTAAGAGGCAAGCTGTGTACCTGTGTTATACTGACTATGCAAAAGCGTTTAACTGTGTGATTCAAAAGGCATTAATATTTGTTGGTGACTAGAACGCAAAAGTTGGAAACAATGGGGAAGGAATGGGAGAGGAACACACAGACTTGGTGACCGAAATGAGGCTGGAGATAGTATGATTAAATTTTGTGCACTCAATGATTTATTCATTGCAAAAACCTTTTTAAAAAAATAAAGGTGATTTTGTGCATGTACTTCACAAGAATCAGATTGATGATGTCTGCAGAATCAATCACTGGAGAAGCATGTTATCAGCAGTTGGGAGCAGACCATCATGTGCAAGTTCAAACTGAAGTTGAAGAATATTCAAACTAGTCCAAAGAAACCAAAATACAACCCTGAGTATATCCCAGCTGACTTTAAGAATCCTCTCAAGAAAAGATTTGAGGCAATGAACACCAATGATCAAAGACCAGAGGGCATCAAGGATATCATCAATGAAGAAAGCAAAAGGTCATTACAGAAGAGATTGGTAAAGAAAAGGGGAAATGTCAGGTGTGAAACACA